GAACATACTGAGCGAGACTAATTAGAAGAGGATACAAATGCATGGTGTAAATGCGGACCCCTCATTAAAACTGCAGGTGCTACATTAGAAGGTAGAGAATGCGGGGGGTGGGGAGGGAGTCCTGGATTCCAGGAAGGACATTACTGACACTGTCCCTGAGGGCCAGGGCAGGAAGGGAGACAAGCAAGCCCCTGAGAATTGCAACAGGTGAGGAGGAGGGTTTAGGGAATCAAGCAAGTGAGCAAAAGGGGTTAAGATGACAGTCACAGAAGGTGAAGATGCCAGTGCTCAGTAGGTAGAAAGAGGTCTTGGAAATGAGTTGTCAAACTAAATGCAATGAAACAAGCACAGATTACTTAAGCTTCTTAAATTGAGCTCTTGTAAAAGCATAGTGTGAGATAATTGGGACACAGGTTGAGCTGAAATTTGCTTTTGTTATATTAATGGAGGAAGAGTGTGTTAAGAAAATTAACAGTAAGAGAATGTGGCAGGGAGAGTGTACAAACAAAGGAGACAAACAGAGTCCAATCACCTCAAGCACTTAGAAGCAACCATTTGTATATAAACAATAGTTAGACTAATAGCATATCATTTGAAACTCCCCACAGAAGGAGCTTCAATAAACGATCATCATCAGGTAATACTTAGCAATCATGGTTCTTGCTTTCCCCCTCACCTATGAGTCATAAAACTGAGGTTTATTTGCAGTATTTAATAATTTAGGTAATTTACGAATTCAGACACTTCTCCCTCCCAGTTACTCCTAATTAGGTTTCTTATCATTAAGAATCAGAAATTTAGGAAACACTTCTGCAAATTCACTAGAAAAAATTGTAGGCTTTTGTATGAAGAGTTTCACATTTTTCTTCTACTGGGACAACCTTATATTCAGGTGCCTATTTATATGCTGATGAGCTAGGTCCCATTCTCAGCAATTCCCCTTCTGGGAATATACCTGGAGGAATTCAAATCACTCTGTGTTCAAATTTGCACACACATGCTTATTGCAGCATTAGTCACAATAGCAAAAACATGGAACCAACTTTGCTATCCATCGAAAGTGGACTGGATAAAGAAAATGAGGTACATTTACACAATGGAATATTATGTAGCCATAAAGAAAAACAAAATTATGAACTTTGCAGCAACATGGATGGAATTAGAGTCTATAATACTCAGTGATTTATCACAGAAACAAAGATCTGAGTACCAATGTACCCACTCATAAGTGGACCTTGAACATTTATCATAATACCACAAGAAAGGAATTCACAGTAGTGGGACACTGCCATTGGGGGGGCATAACCAATAAGGTTACCCATACTGTATCTGTACGATGACCACATATGTACCTAACCCTCATTTGTACTCCACAATTTAAAAATAAAATTTAAGAAATTATTTTTTTAAAAAAATTGGAGTAGATTCTTGAAGTCCATGAAAGTCCTTAGTACTGGGACCCAGGAATTGAAGAGGTGAACTTGATATGACCATGAAGGTATAAGAAATTGGAAACTGTGAAGGAAACCAAGGTCTGAGCTGAGAACCTTCAGCTCAAGACCACATATGATTAGTCACACAAAGCCCAGTAAGTGAACTCACCCCGGCCTCAGTGCTGATGTTCAAGATCCTAACATGCTTAGGATGGCAGAGCGGGTTAGAGTGTTGGGAGCAGAAGCTAGAATTCAGGAGGAAGGAAAAGGCTCTAAGTCTGGGAAGGAAACACCAATAAGAACTAGACAGGATGTTGTGTCTTCTGTCAAGAAAGCTTAGGGGTTTGTGGGGAAAAAACTAGAGTGTGAGGTGAGAAACTTCATTGGAAGTCCAAGTATGTGGACTGAGCAAGACAACTGAGGCTAGATAAGTTTGCAATGTGATGAGTATGAATTTCCCAGGGGCTAAACCAGGTACCAGGTACCAGCGCACAGTGCCACAACTAATTCCATACCTTACCCACTGAGATCTATAACTTACCTTGGTTTACTTGACTTATAAATGGAATAAGGATGTGCTGAATGTACTGGCAGAGAGGGCTGTGAGTGGGCACACCTGGTAGAGACTAGGCTGGACATGGGCTGTTGGGTGGATTAGGAATCGTGGTTAACAAGACTCCCCACCCACCTCTGTCACAGGGAAAGTAAGCTTTTTGTTGCCCATTCTGACAAAAGGTTAACAGGAAAAAAAAAATCACACTTCACTTATGCAATAAATATTTACTGAGTATGGCTAGCATGATGATGGAGCCTTCAGGGACTATGAAACAATAAGGCATTCCTTTCATTCAAGGAGCCTAATGGCTGTGCTTTGTTCATCCAACACATATGGAAACAGCAATTTAAGACAAGAGTCTCATTAAATGGCAGGAAGAATGGTAGAGTCCATGACACTACAGAAACTCAGAGGAGGGATGAATCAAGGAGGGCTTCATGGAGATAGCAACCCAAGATGAGCCTTAAAGAATGGGTATAATTTAGATACACGCATAGAGATGGAAGGAAGGTCCTGGTGGAAAGATACACCGGGGGTTATAAGAATTAAACAAAGCTGGGCTTCATGGCTAAGCCTGTAATCCCAGTGCTTTGGGAGACCGAGGTGAGTGGATTGCCTGAGCCCGCAGGTTTGAGACCCACCTGGGCAACTTGGCGAGACCCTGTCTCTACAATAGATCAAAAATTAGCTGGGCGTGGTGGTAGCGCACGCCTGTAGTTCCGGCTACTTGGAAGGCTGAGGCGGAAGGATCGCCGGTGCCCAGCAGTTCGAGGCTGTGGTGACCGGGAGTGTGCCACTGCACTCCAATATGGGTGACGGAGTGAGACACCAACTCAAAAAAAAAAAAAAAAAAGAATTAAATGAGATACTTCACAAACATCACTTTCACATGCTAAGTCTTGCTAAGACTTTTGGCACCAAAAATGCTCATAGCAAATGAGATATATGTAAGGTTATTGCTGCTGATATTATTTCTGCTACCTTTACCACTGTTATCATTTTTATTTTTATGCCATTTTCACTAATTTTGGTAAAGACAATAAGAATTAATGGGACACATTTGGGAGATAGCAAAGAGGGCATGTTGTGACTTTGTTCTTCAGAAGTATGTGGGATAAAATGAATCACAATGAACAAGATTTTGCACACTTATGAACAAGTGTTTGTACATTTATGAACAAATGTTTGCAGAACTGTTTCTATCAACAGTGTATCAAAACTGCTTGTACTCAAAAGGGATCATGGGAGAAAGCTGCACTGAGAAATTTAAGGTTCCATAAATGCCACCACTGATTGCTGTGTAACTAAAAATCACTGTGATTTAGTCAATGAATGTATCTCTCAAAAAATGAAGCAGAATATTCTAAGCTCCTGGACAGACATAATTCCTCTCTTTCTTCTTCTCTCTTTGTCCAGTGGTCTAGTTGTTTTGTTGCAAACACATCAATAGGAAGGAGATCAAGGTGCTGTGATTCTCTTTAGTGCCTAGCGATGATGTTGCTAGGATAGAGAGAGCAAACACTAGTCTGGAGCAAGGAGGGATTTGTGTGTTCACACATTCAAAACATCCCTGTAGGTGCTGTATTCAAAAAATGGCAAGTAAGATTTCAGCTGACACTGATTATTGCCCAAGTCTCAGAACCACACTACCATATTGCAATGGTCAATCTCTCTTTGTTCTCTTTGCTGTCATGTTCTATAAATATCGAAGAGGCTGCACAGGCAGCAATACTGAGTGGAATCCTGTGCTTCCTGGGTGCACAATGCCTGTCAGGATAGAATCTCTGGGTCTGCAGGCTAATTTCATAAAGGGGGATTATTCAGTCAACAGTAAATAGCAACAAACTCTGATTTCACTTTTCATGCTATGTGATGGAACTGAGCAACTGGGCTGTGTGTGTACATACATTAGGAGGTGATTCTGAAGAACTATGTTACACTGTGGCCAGTGGAAGTGATTTGCTCAGGCTTTGTTTTGCTGCGGGGGGTCTTTGGGTCCCTTGAGTGCCGGGCTGACTCCCTGGACATCTCCCAGCTGAAACTTTTATTCTGAGTGTTCACAAAGAAGCGAACCTCTAGCAAGGAGATGGCTGTTTCAGTAGTTCTACCTCTTAATGTATAAAAACAAAATAATTTCAAGAATATCCAGAGGATTAAGAAACATCAACAATACAAAACAACTAGACTTTTAAAAAATATGTATTTTCCTTTTTGGTATAAAGGACCAGCTTGAGGTCTGTGAATTAGTACAATGACTAAACATATTGTTAACCATGTAAGAAGCAGAAAGCTGTTGTTTTCCACATGCCTGGTTTGTTCCTTCCATAAAATCTTGTTGCAGAATAAGAAACAGTACAGTATTAGCTTAATAAGGATCTTTGCCTCAATGTTGCCCTTGGATACTTTGAAAGGGAAACTGACCAAACTCTGACTCTTTATTCCAGGAGGCAACTTGTTGCAAATGGTTGTACCACAACCCACAGTCAAAGAATCTGTTTTTCATGATGTTCAGTGAAAAGAATCATCAAAGAATCATCCTGCCTTATTTAGTGCTATGTCTCTCACTGCACAGTCACTGCCCCGGGGATGTGGGCTTTCTACACCTCTGGAGTTCCTAGCCAAAAACTCACAGCTCTAACCCCTACTAGACACAGACATTTCAAGCACTTCTAAAGGATTAATTAAAAGTTCTTTCACCTAAGGAAAGAGGGAAAGTAAAAGTCATCCACTCACAAATGTCACTCATGATTCATACATTTGCAGCAACAGCAGCAAAAAAAAAAAAAAAAAAGCACCTGTATTCATAAGAAACTACAATATGTCTTTGCACACAGAAGCTCATTGCTTTAACTCATTAGGGTTTCTTTTTTTCCTCCCTCTCTCTCGCTCTATGCAAAGAAAGTAAACAACACCCATTCACCATACTGGCTATGATACTTTAATTGGCTCTCTTAGTTCCACCCGTCTCATTATTTTAAGTCAATGTTCAGAGTGGAAGGCAGGAAACTTACCTTAAAGGAGTAGTAGAAGGAGCCCCATTCCTCTTCCACCACTTCAGTGAAAGTCACTGTTTCAGTGCAAGCCACTGAGGAAGAAGACGGTATCTGCGTGGTCCCATTGGAATCGGGGCTGTCATCTGTGAAGTTGACTGACATGGCTCAGGTGGGGTTGAGACTCACTGTCCCTGTGCCTGCAGCCCAGGAAGGGTGTCCAGCTCACCCCCAGAAAGCCAGGCAGCAGCTGCAGCTCTCCACCTACTCTGCCTCCCAAGGCTTCTGGCTGGAGCTCGACTGAACAGAGGCACAGAGCCCTCCCTGAGCCCACCTCACTGAAGAGCTCTGCCTGACGACAGGGAAGATCCACATGCTATTCTCTCCCTGGTAGTCGTAATCCAGTAGCCAGCATAGTCCTCATCACCCCACAGTCCCTCCCAGGCCCGGGGCCTCTTCCCAAGAGCAAGGTGGAGCCCCCCACAGCCATCCCCGGAGCTTCCTGGACAGGCCTCCCTGCCCAGGTGTTCTTTTCCTAACTTCCACAGTAGATTTCCACTTCTGATCCAGCTTTCACAATACAGGAATTTGGACTAATCAGCAGGTCCGTTAATTCAGGTCATGTTTGTTCTTCTGAAATTAAATCATAATTGCACATTTATTTCAGGTGAGCTTGCTTTCTGACTTACAGTTCTCACCCTGTTGTTTACTCGTAGTACACATTATTTCAATAAGTGTAGGTAAACAGTATATGTATTTGTATTTTACACTGGTAGTTCTATCTAGGTTTTCCCAGGGCAGTTTTCTGGAAAGCATGGGATCTGTGTTTGTCAATGAGCCATCACCTGTTGTGATATGACTATGTGGTGCCTGGGAAAGGCTCTTATCACCTCCAGTATATTCATCTCTGTTCCTGCCTTGGACCAATACTCAGGGTGTGGGTAGAAAAGATGTGATGCAACATCTTTGGCATATAGAGAGGGGCAGTAAGAAGAATGAACTGCTGCTGTTTCACAAACAAAACAAAAAAGCTTACAAAGCACATTTACACATTCTTTCATTTCATTTCCAAAACAACTCCACGAACTAGACATGGAAATTGTATCATAAAGAGTCCTTATGTTCTCCTTTGGCATTAAAAGACTCTGGCTCTGAGAGGTGAAATGATTTACCCAAGATCTCACAGCTGGTGATGGAAATGAGCTGATAACTCACCTCTTCTGAAATTCCTAGACAGCAGTGCTTTTACTGTAACACAGGCTGATTGGCATCAAATCTCAAATGCCTACCGGGACATGAAGCTAATATAAGTAAGAGTGGCAGGTCAGGTACAAAAATAGGAACCAAGCTGTTCATATGGCAACTGAGCATAATACTTGATTACTCAAGCTGAAAACACTTTGTGAACCAAATAGGCCCAGCCACTGCTTTATGACACCTGGTATAAGAGGTAGCAGCTATAGTGACACTGGCTGCTGTGAGGTCTCCTGGGGAAGTTTTAGCATAATCCATCCAGAGAAGTGCACAGTGTACTGGTGATGGGAAGACATTAAGAATATAATGAAGGGGCAACAAGCATGAGGAAGCTTTGCAGTAAAGTAGATAAGCTGTGGGTTCTTAGGGAAAGGGTTAAAACAGGACAACAACCCAATAGTAAAATGAGCACAGTATATTCCAACTGGCAAATAAACACAAAAAGATGCTTGGCCATATTAACAACCAAGAAAAAGTAATTCAACCCAATAAAAATTTTTACCTATTAGCATAGTGAAAACTAGAGTCTGACTACCCCCAAGTGTTGGCAAGGTTGAGGAGAAATGGGTATATGTTTTTACTCCTGGTGTGAGTTAGTTGATACAATGACACTAAGAGCAATTTGGTTGTATCTAGTAAAGTTGAAAATTACACGTCTTCTAACACAATGTTCCACTTCTGCATGCAGGCAATTTTCCTTCCTTATCTGGATTACCTACATGTGTTCATTGTGGAGAAATTCATTGCACTACAAGGTTAAAATATATGTACTTTTCTCTAGGTATGTTTTACTTCAATAAAATTTTTATAAAACAAAAACCACCATGAGAAACTCCTGGGAAAATGCAGAAGCTGATTAGGGCATAGTGTGATGGAGGTGGAATGAGAGGAAATGGTAGATGCTATGGGAAATAGGTGAAGAGAGAGAGTTTTCTGGTTGTGTCCCCTTCTCTCCACTCTTGGTCCAGGTACATCTTTATTGGACCTGTGGCTACCCCAAAGAAACATTCATGCATCTGTACAAGGAGACATGAAGAAAGATGCTTTTGCAAAGTTGCTTAGAAGTAACTTAAATATTCATAGTGACAAAACCAATGAGACATTCAAACTGTAGACTACTCACATGCCCATCAGCTGGGTAAATAAATTTTCACATAGTCACATAATGAAATAATATACAGCAATGAGAACAAATGATACGCAGACAAAATTAATATAAATGAAACTCACAAACATAATACTCAGCCAAATAATAAGTAAATTTTTTCCTTTTTATAAAGTGCAGTATTATGTGTATATAGATAATATCTGCAACTATTGTATATGTATATATCCAAGACAATGAGATACTATATGGTAGTTAAAAGAAATAGTTATAGACAAGATGAAAAATTAATATGGTACAATGGTTAATTTTATATGTCAGTTTAACTGTGCCATAGGTTACCCAAATAGTTAAATATTTGTCTGGATATGTCTGTGAGAATGTTTTTGAATGAGATTAACATTTGAATTTGTAGACTGAGTAAAGCAGATTGTTTTCCACAATGAGACTGGCCCTCATCCACTCAGTTAAAGGCCTGAATATGGTAAAAAGGTTAATCCTTCCATTAAAAAGAAGGAACTCTTCCTGCCTGACTGCTTTGAGTTGGAACATTAGTTTTTTCCAATTTTTAGACTTGAACTGTAACATTAGCTCTTCTTGGATCTTGAGCTTACTGGTTTTCAGACCAGAATTTACATTATCAACTTTCCTGGTTCTCAGCCTTCGAGCACCAACTGGAAGTACACATCAGTTCTTCTGGGACTCCAGCTTGCTGCCTGAAGATCTTGAGACTTCTCAGTCTCTATAATTGTATGAGTGATTATTCCTTATTATATTCCTTATAATAATTCTTCATATATATTATATACACTTATACAAATTATATATATGTGTATGTATATGCATACTATATATGTATATATGTACCTATATATGTATGTGTGTGTGTGTGTGTGTGTGTGTGTGTGTGTGTGTGTGTGTGTGCATGTATATATTTCCTGTGGGCTCTGTTTTTCTGGAGAACCCTGACTGATACACAGGGCTTTTAGTTCCTCACCTGAACTCATCTCTAGAGATTTCACAAAAATGAGAGGAGCATTGATGAATTACAGAATTTAAAGTAAAACCATAATATATCTGCTAGAATCAGCTAAGTGATAAAGATGGAAAATACTAAGTGTTGGTAAAGATTTGGAGGAATAAGAACTGTCTTTACCCTATTGGAGGGATGTAAATTGGTATAAACCCTTTGGAAAATTTCTTGTCAGTATTATCTAATGCTGAAGATATGCATGCTTAATGACCTAGTGGTTTCACTGCTAGGGAAATACCCAACACAAAGGAGTATATATGTTAACCAAAACAATGTAAAAATTAATATAGCAGTTTGTTGTAATTGCCCCTAATTTGAAACTACGTATGTATTCATCAAAAGTAAGGTGGGAAAATAAGTTGGGGTATATTCACACAATGGAAAACACACTAATGTAATTAAATGCTGTTGGGATACTGGTAATATTCTGGGTTGATAGTCACATGAGGGTGTTCCACTTGTGAAAATGCATTGAGTTATATATACTTCTAATTTCTGCACTTTTCTGTATGTATGTCATACAAGCTTATAAAACAAAAACTTTTTTTCCTTTCTCTCTTTTAATTTTTATTTTGAAATTGTGGGATACAATTCAGGGTTAGGTATACAAATGTTCATTGTGCAGTTACCCTTATTGATGAGGTGTGCCCCCCTTCCCCAGGTGGATATTGAATACTGTCAATCCCAACTACCCACCCCCCAGCCCCCTCCCCACAGTTTCCCGCTACTTTCAATACCTTTTCTACAGTAATACAGTAGGTATTCAAGGTCCACTTATGAGTGAGAACATGTGATACTCATCTCTTTGTTTCTGTGAGAGATCACTCAGTATTATAAGCTCTAATTCCATCCATTTTGCTGCAGATTTCATGACTTTGTTCTTCTTTATGGCTGAGTAATATTCCATTAAAACAAAAACTTTGAAAAATCTTGGAGGTGGGTCAGAAGCTGATTGGGTCACAATTTGATGAGGGTGGGAGGTGGGAGGAGGAAATGGAAACCTAGAGTAAGCAAAACCAGGTGCATAGGCAGAAGATAGGCTGATAGAGAGATGAACAGTTGTGCTGTTTTTTGCTGCACACATTGCTCAGGGGGGTAATTGCGTGGCCCCTAGTTATAACAGAGCAAAAAAATAGTAACAGCAATTCTGGAGCCTGGCCTGGGGTAGATTGGAGCAATGGATCACAAAATGTGTGGATGACAGCCGGCCCTCTGTGTGTTTATTTTTGTCTGTCTATATTAGGCTAAAATCAAGGTGCTGCCTAGGATTGGGGTCTCCTTAGAGGTTCAAGTGGGGGAGGATCTACTTCTAGGTCTCTTTATGCTGTTGGCAGAACCCACTTCTATGTAGAACTCAAGGAAGCTTGTTTCTTCCAAGCCAACAAAGGGGAGAGAGACCCTAGTAAAGTGAGTACAACACTTTTATGTAATCACATACATATAATCGCATATATCCCATTACCTGTGACACTCCATCAGCTGAAAGTGAGCCACAGGCCTGCACACAATCTAGAAGAGGGTATTATACAAAGGTGTGAATATCAGGTGTCAGGTATCATGGGAGCCACCTCAAAGTTTATCCTCCACAATGCTCCTTGAGTTAAGTGTTTGCAACTGAGGAAGCAGTTTGTGAAAATACCAGAGAAGAGTAGAGCTAAGAGTTTAAGGAATACCAATTGAAAATACTGAGTATAAACATAAATAGGTGGAAAAATAACTAAATAGATGTTTTTAATGGCAGAAAAAGGAATTAATGAGCTAAAAGGCAGGTGAAAAATTCTCAGAAGATGTTAAATGTTATAAAA